AATTAAATTCTAAGAACAGGTTCGCACGAACTGGTGCGAACCGGCTGAATCCCACCACTGGCCAGATGTAAAAAGGTTGAAAATTAGTCCTAATTTTGTAGCTTAGATAAGGGTTGTACACCACAATAATTGTTCTGAAAGGTTTATATTTTTTTGGTGCTGTTTCAGTGTCACACACCTCTGAAGTAAGGTCATACTTATTACAAGAGGTATACAAGTTAGTAAGGGTTGTGGGTTTAACTCCCTCGAACATGTATAATGTGAATGATCACTGATAGAGGTAATCTAAAATTTATGGAATAATGTGATAAGATCTTGTCTAATATAAGTTTAGTAACACTATTCTCACCTCTGTTTTTATGTAATGCAGATGTTTGTTCTAATATTCCAGCAGCCAAAGCAGCATATATATATATATATCAAATATTGTAGTCAATCAATTCAGGTAAAGGTCTTTGTTTGACGAATTAAGATTTTGCTTTATGTATACTTGTGTTTATCTTCCTCCCTTGCTGTCTATGTTCAAAACTATTCTTTGAATAACAAAACACCATACATTTAATTTACACTATCAATATAAGAAGCCTAGTTTTGTTATTTTGATTTACTCTTGTCAAGAGTTACTGATGAGAGATGAAATTACCTAGTATTTTAAACAGCTCATTTGCTGAATAATTTAATAGAATAAATTAGTTACATCAATGCTATATATTTTTCAAATCATATATAATATAGGATCACTGTGGCAAGTAAAAGGACATTTAAAAATAACATGCATTTCCTGAACCAGCTTTTTTTTTTTTTATTCCTGACAAAGAAAAGTACTTTCTGAAAGCACTTGAGTTATTGGGTTTTCATTCTAGTAGTAGCTCTTTACTGTTGATTCTGCATGCTTTTGACTATCATATCTTTGTAACTTTCAAGAAGACATTCAAATACCATATTAGCTGAATTGGATGATCAGCTAGTGAGATACTACTTGTAGCAAAGTATTTCATATGAAGATGCTAGACTCCTAACCAAATCCAAATCCAGGGTGATGGTCTGTACAGGTTTTTACCGTAAATTTTTGTTTTCAAAATTACTGTCCTATAACAGTATTAAAACGTGTTTTGCTGTCATTCTCACAGGTTTGTTTTTAAATATTTTTAAAAAGTTTTATTAGCTAAATTTGATGTTCCATCTCATAAGGAGCTCTTTTTTAAAAAAACTTCTTTCAAATAAACCCTAATTCCAAGTAAAGAAACTGCTTTATTGATGACTTTTAGGCTGATTATAATGATTTATAATATTCTCAAAAAACAGTGCCCCACTGGAGATCAGCTGTGGGTAGGGGTAAGATACAACGATACTCAAAAGCTACCACTTGCAAAATTGTTTGGAACATCAGCACATTTACTGTGATCCCAATACCTCATTGCATCTAAAGTCACAATGCACATATTAGCAGGCTGAAAGCTTAAAATATTGTGGAAGCAGTGGAAAGAAAAAAAGTTTGAGATACAGAGTTGTTTGGATGCTGAAAAATGTTGCTAAAATGATGTGTTTTATGCATATGCTTCAGTGTAACTGAAAAAGTCCTGAATGTAGAAATCCAAACAAAAAAACTACTAAAAAGGGGGGAAAAACTTGCATCTTAATAAAATGTGATATACTTTTCAGTTTCTACATAAACCTTTTTGTTATTATTATTATTATTATTACAAAAAAAACTTACATTGCAGGAGAATTCCATGATGAACCAAAAATATTTAGTGACTTAGAGAAAACATCATTGTAAATCAATCCAGTGTAGATAGAGAATGTTCCCATGAGTAGTATGATATATCGACCATTGAAGAAAGTATTCCAGATCTACAGGATAAAAATACAAGTCTTAAGGTAAATTTTTTCAATTTACCAATGAACAAGTATTAGATATGCATTGTGTTAACCCTTTCCAGATGGGTCATGGGTGAAAGGCCATGTCATCACGTTTGTTGACTCTCATTCAAAATTTTATTGAACTACTATTCCATGAATTTATGTCAATAAGTTTGGTATCAAACTGTAGAATATAATTAAAGTTTTAGTACTATACCTTAATTTCTTATATTTAAGAACTTATTTCTAAATAGCAATAATATATATATATATATATATATATATATA